TCAGAATGGTTTCCTCTCAGATGATGACTGAGAAGCTAATTAAAAAAAATTGTGCCAAGTACCACAAGAGTAACAGACTGTGCTGTTTTCTGGGATTTTGTTTTTTACTTTGTTGTTGTTGCTGCTGTTTGTTTGTTTTGTTTGTTTTTTGTTTTTTTAAAATGGAGTGTGCTAGATGTCTCTACAATTTTCAAATATGTGATGAATCCAAGGTGTTTCAGTGAGTGCTCACCTGTGCATGCAAATTTGATTTCATCTTTAGTAAGTAGTAAAGTTGTATGCTTGCCAAAAAATAAATAAATAAATGAATAAATAAGTGACACACTGGAAGACAAATGTAACACAATATCAATTTTATGTGTAACCTGGAAATGATGAACTTATGGGAACAGAGAGCAGAATTGTGGCTATTAAGCTTCAATGTGGGTCTTTTAACAATGGGGAAATGATTAGTTTAAGGATATAAAACTGCAGTTGGACAAGAGGCATGAACTCTCTGAAGTCTTGAGGTCTACTGAGAGCATAATAAATATGGTTGATAACAATATGCTATATTTTAAAAGTTGTGAGATAGTATACTTTAAGTGTTCTCAAAACAAAAATTATGAATATGTGTGATATAACATGTTAATTGGTTTAATTTAGCCAAGCCATTGTGAACATACTGTATTCTGTATCATAATTGTGCATGACTTTATTTATGAGCTAAATAAATGAATGACAAAAAAGAAAAGAAAATAGGATATACAGAATGCAAGAAAGGTAAAAATTCTTGAGGCAAAATACAGATTTAAAAACAGGTTAAAGTAAGTAATAAGAGCTAGTGTGACAAGTATAAGGCCAAGCATTTAGGAGCAATGATAAATCTCTGTGTCATGATTTGGGGACTGGTGGTCCAAGAAAGCCTGTTAGACATACCTGACTTGATTTTACTAAAGTTTAAATAAGGTTCAGATATTTAAGCTTTGAAATATTTGTGTTGAAGATGTTAAACTTGCTCCCTAGTACACAGAAAAGGTGTATTAGTAAGTGATAAGCAGAAAATAGACTCCGTATGTAGTGAATGAAAACAAAAACTGACCTAATCTACACTGAGAAAATTTATTATTTTTGTATCAACAGCAAACAATTAAAACTCACAGCTGAAATACAGTGTAATGATCACTCTATACAAATGTCACTACAATGTCTACCTTAAACTTTCTCCTCATTCATCATCCCATTCTTGTCACTGCCTGGAAACTCATGCCCTTTTGAATATAACTACCCTCACACTTTATTACCAATCTACTAGATTTGATTTCTCAGAAAGTATCTCTACACAGGATATTAAAGATGACAACAAAATTATTGTTTCCATTTTATTGTATTGAAAATTAGCAAAATTAAGTAAATTCCCAAATATATTCAACCATATTTATTCTAATTTAAAATTAGGATTATCCAAAGTTCAAATCATGTTTAAACTCTTTTATTTTGATATACTTTAAACTATAACCTTTAGATACCATTGCTATTTGACTGCCTAGCTACATGTACCATTGATTTATAGACTTTCTTCTAACCAACTAATATACTTATCTATTACCCTCAAACCTAAATTTAAATAAACTGGGGCTGTGGAAAATGCTATGGCTCCATGTATTCCATCCTCTATATGGTCATGTGTGACTGGAACTCCAGCATTTCTGAGTCGGGTGACATAAATAAGTCCATCATCTCTTAGGATGTCGTGTTCACATGTGAGGACATAAGTTAATGGCAATCTCTGTAACTGGGAGTCAGTGACTATCAGAGGAGATACTCTACTATCAACAAGTCCTGGATAGGAAGCATTCAGTTTTCCAATAATGGGCTCCCTGTAAACATGGATCTTTTTATACTTTGCAGGAAGAAAGTCACTCCAGTTAACAAATTTGAACAGGTGTCTTGATCCTTCAGGCATGTATTCATTTTTCAGTATTGCCTTTGGCAGTTCTTCATCTTCTGTTAAATATAGACATGACACCTTAATTGCTACCTTCCTTGACAGAAAGGGACCGTGTTGATACTGTTGATAAGATGGCATCATGGTATCAATTGCCTGTAGTCCAGGGTATATCAAGGCTTGTGCCTTAAGCTTGTTTTTGTATTTTGGATCATCCTGTAGCTGTAAATAAAACACATAATAAGTCAATAGCTCTCAAAAAAGGATTGGAAAGTTTGTTTTACTATCTCAAGGTAAATAAATTTATAAAACTGAAACAGTGTCTGGTGATTCTCTCATAACATTTACTCATTGTTTGAAAATTGAGAATGTCATCTGACCTTCTTCACACTTGCCAAGCAAACAGGAGAATGAACGAGAATCCTACTAAAGATGACAGAATGGTTATGTTTAAAATATATTTTTTGTTTTTGCTAACAAGTTATTTTTATGTGTCTAGAACATATGGTCTTCCTGTATCAGCCTCCTATGAGATCTAAACATGGGCATGTGTCATCATGTCCAGCTTGCTTATCTAAATTTTTGACCTACAGTAATCTAAAATAGCAGAAACAATAAAAGTAACATGTAAACAGCATGTCAAACACCCATTCAAATGGAGCATAGTCATTTGTTGTTACTTGTTGCAAACAATCTTATCCTATGTCTTACTTTTAGCTATTAGTATTATAACATGGCAGAAAATGCAAAGAATAATTCATGAAAATCAGAAGAGCAGAAGAAAGTAGTGGACTAGTTTATGTGTTGTTGGAGACTGTGAGAGTTACAGCAGATGACATCAAGTGTTCAGATGTTAACTCGCCAGAGGAGTAATTTTTTGATGAGGTTAATCCTGTTCGGGCAAGGCCTATAGGACCATGGACTCTGGAAATTGTTGCTCTCATTTGCTAAAGCAGCTTGGTGTCTCCCCAATACCTGCGTTGTAGTTTGTAATCTCATGTTATGTGTATAAGTAACCTCATGATTAATTTTAATCTTGTCGGTACATGTATCGGTTGATGGTCAGGAAAATAGGTTTTTATTATCTGTATAATTTTTATATATAGAAAATATACTAAGAAATTTTTCATGGCTAGATCTGTTTGTTCCATGAAACATTGGAAACATTTAACTGGAAACATTAAAAAGCCTGCGTTGTTCCTTTTGTTTCAAGTAATTGTACACAATTAGCTCATTTTTACCTCAGAGCAAGTTTAAACTACACTAAAGGCTTTTTAAAAATAGATCATAAATTTAAAACTTTGCATCTATGCACAAGGTCATAGTTGCAGGTGTCTAACCAGGTTGCTACACAAAGCATCTTAAGAAAAGCATGCCAATTTTTTGCTTGTCAAGTCTAGCTGACAACAGACCTATGTCTCAAGTTTGTCATTGGATACTGTGCCCCTCCCCCTTGTCTGGTCACTGTCTTACTCCTATAACCTTGGAACCTTACATTGTCATGGTAAATGGCTCAGCTACTTATTGATTACATTAGGAATGTGCTTTTGACCAATGAGAAGTAACTTGTAATTTTTTATCCCTTAAAGTCTCCTGTGAGGAGAGATTTTAGGCTAGAGGAGAAGAAGCTAGGAGGAGTTAAAATCAGGACAGAAAAATTAGACTAGAAGCACAAAAAATAAAGAGACTTATTTGGAACAGCATGGAGTAAAAATTTTCATTTGTCCTCAGATACCCTAAGAAAAGTTCCTTTTGCTTCCTGTAGCATCTAATCTGAACCCTGAAGAGAACCTTGGTGCTGAGCCCCAAAGGCCCTCATTAATATGTACTCTGTCTTTACCAGAAATGGGAAGTTTCCTGAGTTTGCAGCTGTAAGAAGATTCTTTCCTTTCATTTCTAGTCATGTACCCTGCAGGAGAGAACCTATAGTAGGCTCCAAAGGGTCAGGATATAAGCAGAACACATTCTTCTCCAGCAGTGCCATATCCACAACTGTATCTGCAGCCTTCTACAGAGAAGGTCAGGATCTGTTTAGTTCAAGGTAACGCCCTCCTCACAGAAGTTAATTTATATAAAATGAAAGGACTAGCTGGAATCTCAGCAGAGAATCACAAGACAAAATATCTGACCAACTTGAAAATGAACAACACACTATAGGTACAAAGTCCTGAACTTCAGAAGGAAAATGAAGAAAGAAAATTTTCCCAAGAAAATGTTGTCTGGTTCTCAATCCTTCCCAGTCTTTAAGCCGATAATTTTGCAAACAAAATGCAGTGTCTCAGAAAGTTCAGAGAATAAGCATCAGTGAACACAACAGTAAAACTGAGGCTGAGCCAAGCAATAGCTCTTCCGTATATAAACAAAAATAGTCCCCGGTTAACAACTGATGGTGGTGATTGAGGCACAGGGAGATTATACTGAAGTTTAATGGTTCATCAATGAACTTTTCATGGTTCATTGATGTATAGAAGAAACTAATTGTTAAGTAAAATCTGAACCCAGGGATATGGCTCAGTTGATAAAATCTTTGCCCAGAACAGCCTAGGGACTGCAAACTTGAAATCAGACATAAGCATGGTGGCGGCCTAGCCCCCATGCTAGCGTGAAGAAAGATACATCTCCTGAGTTCACTGGCCATTTGATCTAATAAATTATCCTGATGAGCTCCAGAATCAGTAAAAGTACTTGTCTGAAAATATATGATTTTCAAGGCCAACTTGGTTTACCTAGCAAGTTCTAGGCCCACAAATGTTACACAGTGAGATTCTATCTCAGAAAGAAAAACAAAACAAAAGAAACATAAATTTGGAAAGGAAAGGAGGGAAATGTGTACATGTAAGGGCAAACACACATGCACACTCATGTGAATGTGGATTTACACAGACACACACACACACAAAAAAAGGAATCAAGTCTATCACACATTAAGCAAAAAGAGAAAATAGTGGCTTTTTTCAGTAATACATCATATACCATAAAATTTAAATCAGAAAAGAAAGAAATGCTAGTGCATTAACAGATTAGCATAAAGGAAAGGGCCAAAGTAGAGGGTGTCAGAATTACAGGTACCTTTAAGGCTTTCCTGAGCCACAGAGTTACTTTTTCAAACACCTTTTGTCCTTTGTTATGATAAACCCAAAAACGAAGGCTCCTAGTTCACTAAAACACTGCCAGATATCATATGCCAAATCCCTCTGAAGCTCTGAACAGTGCCTTCACTTAAAAGTCCTTTCTACATGGGAGGACAGTAATGGAAGACTTTTCACTGCCTGAACTTGTTAGCACTGTGGAAACCGGAGCAGTGACAACAAAAGTTTAATCTGTTGACAAGCCAGAGGGATTATGGGCTCTGACATGGTCAAAGGAGTCCAGGTAGGAGACATCTTAACAAAACAATTGCGTTTTCCAATCTTTCACATTTCACAGACTTTTGTAAAGTCACACCCATGCTTTGGGGGGGAGATAGTGACTCTTACCAGAGTCAATGTGTGGTGATAAATTTTATATGAACATGGAACCCTCTTTCTCAACCAGAACCTTGAAAGGAAAACCACTGCAGTTGGATGGCTATCCTTGGCCTCCTCAGCTAGAACAGCCAACTCATGAAAAGAGGTATATAATAGCCACGGTGTCATAAATTGCTTGAATTATTTCTAGACTTTTCATGAAGGCACCTTTATAAATTTTAGTAGACACCCAAAAGCAATGAAGAAGCAGTTGGTCAATCATAGAGCAGAGATTCCTTGTGCCTCCCACTGTGGCTGACAAAGCAGGATGAATAAGATGGAGGCACACAGGGAGAGGTCCTGCTGGTTGGCTCTATGAGTGCAGGTCTTACCATGTCAACACTAGCACAGAATAGTTTCTGAGGTAACATGGAGGATGGAAGGAAATGGGGAGGAGGGAGGAAGCTAGATTAACCTAGAATATACCATGAATCTTAATGTCTTCTGATATGCAATTTAAAAAATACATTTTGTCACAAATATTTCAATTCTCATAGCTGTATGTTCTCCCATATATTGAGCTAATCTAGAAACCAATGTCCTTACCTATCTTATTTCAAGACTTAAGTCAAATTTAACCATCTTCAGTTACCTGGAGTACAATAATAATGATTCTATACCAGCCACATCCACAGGGTTTTCAGTAGGGTAACAAGTATTGCAGGTATTCTGATGTACTTTTTATTTTACCTATAAACATTCACCTGTATGTTTGTGCATGCTAACACTCAGGCAAGAAAATCACTTCTTAAACTCACACAACAATCAATATGCCTCAACTCCAATGTCCCAATCTTCATTTTCCACCTTATATTAAAGACTACATGTAGTACTATGACTTAAAAATACATGAAATATTGGAGCTGGAGAGATGGCTCAGGCAACATCACTGGCTGCTTTTGCAGAAAACTTTGATTTCATTCCCAGCATCCACATGGCATCTCACAGTGGTCACAACACCAGCCAGGAAATTCAGTGCCCATTTATTGCCTCTGGAGGTACTGCATGTAAGGATAAATCAACTAAGACATCTTGAGCTTTTTATGCTCTAACAAAATGACAGAGGTTATCATTGCAATCAGAAAAACAGTATTTGAAAAGAAGTAGCAGCTTGTGATTAATACAGAAGGTGTGGCTATGTTAAGTGTATTCATCCTAGTGCCACACAAGCTGACCAAAGGAAGTCTAGCATTCAAAGAAGGAAAAAGCACTTATAGAGCTATGTGAAAACACTACCCAGAAAGTGCCTCCTAGAAAATGAACATATATGGACACACATTTATCTCAACATATACAAACTAACAAAAAGGACATGATTAACTAAACTGAGACTATTCTTCCTTTGGAAACAACTCAAACTAGTTTGCAAAGGTCAAAATAGAGATGAGATATGATAACTTATAATCCTACCCCTATTATGTGGACAAACTGACATTGTTTAATTCTTCCTTCTTAATTCAGGATACAAAAAATTATATCATATTCAACAACATGCCTTCTCATTATGAAACTCACAAAGAATTATAATTAAATTACATGAAACTAGTGAGCTCAAAGATTTATATAAAAGAATCATAGCACTCTTCCCCAATTAATTGACCCATTTTTGATTTGTCTTTTATTTTTTGAGTTCATAATATAATTATATCACTGCTTTCTTCTCTTTACCCCATCCAAACCATCCCTTATACCCCTCCTTTCTCTGCTTCAAATTCATGGACTCTTTTTTAATCTTTACTCTGTAGCATTTTATGTTAGCTTTCAATCACATGGTTTAGAATAGTGTCATAACATTTCTGTTTACTCATTAGAGATTATTATGTTTGGCATGAGCAGTCAAAGGCTTGTTGAAAGTTCTGCTTCCAGAAGGACATCATGCTTGAAAGCTCAGCTTCCATAATTTAAAATTCTTAATAATTTCTCTTATATCTACTTCTATGCAACTGAAATGTATAGCACAGTGGATCATGAAGATCAGCAGAGGAGATGACATGTGTTTCATCCATGTTGGCATGTAAAACCTGCAACAACTATGCCACTTCCATAGAATATTTCATTCTACTCCTTTTCACACTTTTCTTTATTCCCCACCCTTTATAAATCCACCAGAATTCTGAACCCATGTGAGATACTGAAAATACTGGAGGTCCTGAAGATATAACAGCCTCGGCTTCTACTGCAACCAAGATTTTCTTCAGATGAAGAAGCAGCAATAGGTAAACACCATCACATCCTTTCTTCCTTATGTGAGCCCTCTAACTTAGACATGTACAGTGCAAATAAAGACAACGAGAAAATGGGGCCAACCATAGTTTCTTTTACAACCTATCCTTCTTTACTCAGCAGTAAGCTAAAAATATAGATGTTGATGGAATATGGACATCCATTATGTAATAGCAATAGTGTAATTGTGACATGATCCACGCTCTGTTCCACTCCTCTGCTAAGAACAAAATACATACCGAAGCACAAGTCATGAACACTGGCAATTCTGCATGTAAGATAAAGTACTTTGATTGCTGTGTAAATGGCCACTGTGAGGTTGGGGACATGTATTGGCAGTTAAAGTGCTTGTCTTACCAAGCATTAGAACCTGAGTTTGGTCCTCCAGTTACAGGACAACTAGGCATGCTTGCAGTCTGCAATTCGAGCCTGGGAAAGCAGAAATGGCATCATCAAAGCAAGATGGGTAGCAAAAACAGCCATAACAGTGAGACCCGAGTTTGACTGAAAGATGCTTCTTCAACAAATGTACAATGGAAGATGATTTCTAATATCAATCTCAGGCCTCCACATGCACATGGAAATACACAAGCAAAACGATGCATAAACACGTGTACACCACACCACAGACAGACAGAAAGACACACACACATGCGTACACACACACTTTTAAAGGCTACTATATATAACATAAGTTTAAGTTGGCATTTTATAACATTTGTTCATGGCTCTTTGGGATGCTTAAAACCATCATGTGTTGTTCCAATTACTCACCTCCACTTTAATGAACTCACCTTGCCTACCTCTATTTATCACAAGAATCTCACAATGTGCCATGGGTTCCTGAAGCAGTATACAAAGCTGTCTTACATTAAAAAATAATACTGATACCATAGTCAATATCTAATCTACCAAGAGGAAGAGACTGAAGAGCTTGTCATCCAGTAGTTAAAGAAATAAGTTTAGAACCTTACATGTGTTCTGTCATGTTAGGCATTGGGTTACATATCCAGTTCTGTCAAGCCTTGGGTTCCTGACAACAAAATAGGGTATGCATCTGTAAATATAATGTATAGGTTTTTTATTTAAATTTTTATTTCTCAAGTATTTCATTTTCTCACTTTTTCCCTTCTAATTTCTCTCATGTGTCTCTACCACTGCCTCAGATTTATGACCTTTTCTCTTTTAATTATATTACCTTTCTGAAAGTTATTTTAATTTGAGCAAAGAAACAATCAGCCGAACTTCATTCTTGTTGGGAAGGACACAAGCAAGATTTCATAAGGGTTAGGAAGGGAAGAAGTATGATAATATAAAATTAAAATAAGAACATGAATTCAAAACCTTAGTTCTAAAAACTACTAAAGACCAACAAAGACCATGTGGTAACATTTGAGCATCCTGGTAATTTTGGAAATGGAACAGACTAAATCATCTGATCAAGTCAGGGGTGTTCTAAAGACTCAGCTCAGATGATGCTCTGTATCTTTGGTCAACCTTGAACAGATATTATAAAATGCCAACTTATACTTATGTAATTGTGGATAAAAAAGGAAAATACTCTGCAAAATTAATCAGAAAATGTTATTGATAGATCACTTTTGCAAGAACTAATATATCTTCTTTTTATTTTTTTCTAGTAAAAAATATTATAATTTGCTGTTAATGACAGATATGTTGCTGGGCTGGAGAAATGACTGAGCAGTTAAGGGCACATGCTGCTTTTGTAGAGAACCCAAGTTTGAGTCCTATACCCTATATGGTGGCTCAAAATGGGAGCTCCAATGTCTGAACAGTACAGTGCTGTCTTCTGGCTTTTGTGGGTATTGCATGCACATAGTACATGGACATGAATGTATGCAAAAACACTCATACACATAAAAGTTAAATAAAATTTTAAAAGAAAAAATAAAAGACAGTTATATTGTTTTTATTTGTGTAAAAAATGCATTTCCTGTGAAAATGAATTGAAGTACACTCGTTTAGTTTTCAAGGATCAATTAAAATTGTTAAACTCACTTAGCAAATAATATGTCTCAGAACTTAAACATCTTTAAGTTTTGGATTTCACAACATCTCATCCCTCTCTAAGAGCAGTTGATGGCTCCTGGGAAAGGGAGAGTCACTTTTCTTTAAGGATGTGGCTTCTGGTGACTTGTCAATGCTCGAGGATAAAGCCAAACATCCAAGAATGCATAGGCAGCACAAACTGTACTTGATGGATGTCTTGATAAGCTTTTGTCAACTCAGCACAAGCTAGAGCTATCTGAGAAGAGAGAGGCGTTTGGAAAATGCCTCTGTTAGATTGTCCTGTGGCAAGCTTGTGGAGCATTTCTTAACTAGTGATTGATGAGGGAGGGCCCATTCCATGCCGGTGATAAAGTTCCTGGGCTGGTGTCCTAGGTGTATAGTAAAGCAGTCTGATTAAGCCATGAAATCAAGCCAGTAAGGAACATTTTTCCAGAAATTTGAAAATCTCTCAGACTCTATCAAAATCCATGTGATATTTTGAAGTAAGAACCATTAAAGTGAAACTTTCGCTTTCCTGGAACAATCAAGACTGATCTCTTAGGCTGAAGAATCAATTGTGATTAAGAGGAGACTAGCACCACTGTGTTGTAGCACAATCTTTTTGTATACTATGAAGATGTGTTGCTCTCATAGGCTTTACAATGTGTTAACTGTCCAATAACTAGAGAGGAAAAGATTAGGCAGAGAGTGAGACTGAGAGAATGCTGGGAAAAAGAAGGGCAGAGTCACCAGCCAGACACAGAGGAAGCAACATGAGCACTATGGAGAGATGAGGTAATAAAGCCATAAGACTGATAAAAATGGGTTAAGTTATAAGAACTAGTTAGGAACAAGCCTAAGCTATCAGTCAACCTTTCATAATAAGTCTCTGTGTGGTTATTTGGGAGCTGGCAGGTGGGACAGAAAATTGTGCTGATACCACTGAGTCCAAATCTTCTGGGAAGTATTTCCTCAGGGTCAGCACATAGAAGTTGTAGTCCAGAGGAGGGCAAGGTTGTATCTTGTGCTGGAAGGAATGAAGGGGTCATGGGAGCAATCAAAGTTTGGCAGGCACCATGAGAGCCTAGTGAGGCTAATGATGACTGTGAAGCCTCAGTTCAAGTAGAGGCCCTGGGATTGAAGCGGTCTTGCTTAACAAGAGACCAATTCAGGAAGAGTTTAAAAGGAGGTGGCTGCATAGTTCCATAGTAGATAATTTGTCTAGCAAGCATACATCCTTAGATTCAATTTCCACTAAGCATGAACACACACACACGCAGACACACACGGACACGGACACGGACACGGACACGGACACGGACACGGACACGGCCACGCATGCATGCATGGATTATGAAATCCTTAGTCAGCATTACCTAATTAAAGCCACATCTAAAGCTAAAATCATGCAAAAAGAATGAACTTACATGTTTATTTTACATTTTATAAATTGCAGCACAAACATCATTCAAACACAACATCTGAAGCACTTCCTTTGTGTTAGGACTAAACTGCTGGTTTCAATCATATATAGCACACACAACATACCAGTTGAGTCACTGCTGCTACCAAGGTGCCCCCAGAACTGTCTCCTGAAATACAGATGCGAGAAGGATCCACTCCATATTTTTCAAGAACTTTATCCTGGAGAAAGAACTTGACCACAGAAACACAATCTTCAATGGCTGCTGGGAATGGATACTGAGGAGCCAGTCTGTAGCTTCAGAGGTAAATGAAACAAAAAAGCAATCAAGAACTTATGATTATGCTTATGTATCCAACTATCTCTCAATTTTATCAGCAGATACATAAGTAAAATTTGACCCTACTTTGAACCTTTAAACCATCAACTAAGCCTGGCCTTCCTACTAGCTTCTAATTTAAAACAAGAAGTAGATTCTGGTTTTAATACAATAAAATTGGCAGAGACAAGCCAATTTTCTCCAACCTCATGATGGATTAGTAAGAAGTACAAAATACACTCAATAGGTTATAAAGCAATAAACATGTATTTAACTTCTTGTATATTGTTGGCCATTTGAGCAAAAGGCATGAAATACTAAGAGCTGTCATTGAAAACATTCTTAAAATCTTTGAGATGTCTGTGGTGATAACTGTTTATGATTTAATAAAGCCACTGAAGATGCAAAGCTAGCCACAGCCATAGAGTCAGGCAATGGTGATATACACCTTTTATTCCATCAGCCACACTAGTTAGCTATAGAAGCTGGACAGTGTTGGCACACACTTTTAATCCCAGGACTCAGGAGACAAGGCTGGTGGATCTCTGTGAATTCATGGCCACCCAAGTTTATATTAGAGTGAATCAGTCTAAAAGAGAAACAGCTCACACAAAGGAGATCTCAGCACTTGGGATCCCATGCCTTTAATCCCAGCTCTAGAGAGGTATATAAGATAGGAGCAGGACATTCAGTATTCAGTCTCAGAGATTCATTCTCCAGTCACACTGAGGACAGCACAGCCCTTTCAGCCTGAGGTAGAGGTAAGAGCTAGTGGGTGAATGCTTTACTTTCTTTTCATCTTTGAACCCCAATATCTGTCTCAGGGTTTTTATTATTTGTGTTACAATGGTTCCAACATTTGTCTAATTAATATTACTGGGCCCAAAAATAACTCTAACACACATTGTTTTATTACCATGATAAATAAAGCCTACCACCCCTCAGTTAGATTGAGTATACACTGCAGGCATATTACCTGGGTAGGCTTTATGTTTTCAAAGCTACCACTGATTTATTGGCAAAGATGCTCTATCTCTGCCTCTCACAGGTGTCTACCATTGCATAAATTAAAGCACAATTTCACCTTCTTGAGGAAACATTGATATTATAACACTAAAAAAATTTTAAAAACCAAAATTTACTAGCAGCAGTCCAGCCACCATCTAGGACCATGTAACTTATACTGTAAGCCAAGCTTATGATGGGAGGACAAGGGCTACAGTAACAAAGATTGCCAGTCTCTTACTCTGGTACTATAACAACAGCATCAAGTTTGTTGGCTGTCAGTCGATTCAGGAAGTCATAAGGCAGCATCTCTGAAATGAAAGAAATACATATAGAAGAGAGCTATGTAAATGCCAGACAATTAAAACCTATCCATACCTATTAATCCCCACAGAATTTGAATTGCCATTACTTATGAAAACCTTGAAGTCAACACTTCTGTAACCTTCCTTATCTCCTACCCACTAAATCACTCCTAAGCCAGGCCAGAAGACAAAATCTTGTCAGGGCACAATGAAAGAGGTTTGTTCTGTGTGTCCTGATGGCCTGGTAGGGTTCTCTCAGGAAACTTCCTCTGGCTTCATAGTGTTGCTAGCTTCACTTGACTCCCGGCACAGAGCATAGTGTGCTGTAACTGCTCATGCTCATTTCTGGGGTCAGTTATATTAGGAGGAGGCTTGTGGCTGAGCAGTATTGAAGGAAACTACACTAGGCAATATTAGACAGATAGTAGCCAATGAGCAATGGCAAAGATCATAGTCCAAAGCTTTAGTAGTAACAAACTATCCTTTAGTTGAATTTATATTTTTTTTCAGGAGAGGAAAAAGTGTATGTCTTAACTCTGTCAAAGTAACCATGTCCATATCCATAAGACTGCCTATAAAAGAGAACTCAAGAAGCAAGTTGAAGATGATATTACTATCACCACTATAGTATTGATAAATTAAGATAGTCACCATAATTAATCTTTAAAGATCTTTTAGGGTTTTCCTGCTTTTTAATAAAAGGCCTTTAGTTTACATAAGGCTAAATATATTTCTCAGAGTAATTTTTAATGTTTTTTTCCCTTGTGAGAGGCTTATACTTTAAAAGAAACTCTAAGTTTCTTTTCTGAACATAAATGAAATTTTTAATTGTAGTTAAAATCAATCAACATATTCTTGCTTGCAATATTTCCTACAGAAATTAACGATGAGCTGAATCTAGTTATTATACAAAGAGGTGAGGACAAAATTGTAAATTTATTATGATTAAAATCTTAACAGAAAACAATGTCAAAATTCATCAGCAAAAAACAATTCACATAAAAAGCATAAATTAGCATTATTATATAAAACACAAGCATAATGACTACTATCAAATCTTCAAGGGAAAAATGAAGTCATTGCAGGAGAAGGTGTAACAAGGTCATGAGAATACATAGAGTTCCAGTTCATATAATAAATGAAAACAAAATTAAAATTCACATTAAAAATACACTTACTGCGACTTCCAAAGCAAAAGGCACCACCATGAATATAAATAACAGCTGGTCTCTGTCTTTCAGACTTCCTTTTTGGCAAATACAGACGAACAGGAATGCTACTGAAGTCTGTGTCAATCACTGTAATGTTTTCATCTGAAACTGGCTTTATATTTTGAAGTTTCATTAATATGTTGAAAAAGTCTTCAAATTTCATAATACCCATATTTTCAAATAATGTGCCCTATCAAAACAACATCCAAATGTGTGTGTTAATTTTTTTATTTTAGTAACACTAAATGTACATAAAGATGCAATGGAAAAAAGAGTAGGTGGTATGATAAAGCTCCCCTGTGTATAGCACATCCCTCATCACAGGTGAAATGGACATCTCAGAAAGTGGGAAAGAAAGATATGGAAACATAGAAGTAGGGAATATGGCCCAAATACAATGTCTTCAGATATGACAAGGCAATCACACTTACAAACTCATAGCTGCTCTAGTTACCTGAGTGGGATGTGCACATAACCAAATGTGTACATAACAGCAAATAATATGTAATATATATTGGGGTTTTGTAACATAAGAGGCCCTAATTGCAACTCAGGAGCTAATGACAGTTAATGGCTACTGGGGATGACAGAATCAGGTACCTTCAGAGAAATGGCTCTTGGTATGTTGTCCTGGCTCCAGTACATGGCTCTACATGCATACACATATAGGCAGCACTAACTCATCACAGTGAGTTATAAATAATATTTTTGAAAACAGACATACTGTTGAAAGGGCTATGCAATAAGAAGGGTCTGGGAGAAGTTGTAGGGAAAAGTAGAGATAGATGACTAAAAGAAGATAGATGATAGATACATGCATACATACATACATACATACATACATACATACATACATATGTAAATATATATTTTATTTATATTTTCAAAACAAAATAGTATTAGTCAAGCACAAAGGGCAATAAAATCAGAAAATATTTGTACCAAATAAGCCAAAGGATTTTCATTTTTACTTTAGAAAAATCTAAAAGTATTGTTAGACTTTCAAAAAAGAGAGAGACTTATTACATGTCCCAACACATGGACTATTGTTATTCATACTATAGAAATCTCTATAAATTCATCTGTATAAGACCGGCAAATCATTGAGTCAATCAACATTTCATGATGATGAAGGACTTGTTCATAAGGTCCCACCAAATATTCAGGAAATACTAACAAGTAATGGTTGTTGAGAGGGGAGATGGCACTTTCTTCAGTGGTCTAGATAGTTTTTCTTGCTCTGGTACATAATGTTCCCCTATGTTAAGGAAGGAAACTAATTAAACTAATTGAGTTTCACAAAGAAAGAAGACATAAAAGGAGACTGAGAAAATTGTGAGAACAGTTTCAGCAGATGAGAGGGAATGCATGCAAATTTATGAAACTATCAAACAATAAAAGCTTGTAAATGTAAAAAGAAATCTCAAGCATGCAATATTTGAAAACAAGGTAATCTTACTTGATACCAAAAATTTTTGTATCTGGAAACAGCATTTTATGCTTCCTTTCTTTGTATGTATACACCCAATATTTGACTTTATTTGTTGTTCATTAAATTTAGTTTTGATGTATAAAGTTTAACTCTCTCTCTCTCTCTCTCTCTCTCTCTCTCTCTCTCTACTCTCTCTCTCTCTGTGTGTGTGTGTGTGTGTGTGTGTGTGTATGCAGGCATGTGTGTACAATATACATCTATGGAAGCTAGATGATACATTCAGATGTTGCTTCTCAGTTTCCATCTTGTCTGCTCTTCTTTGCCACTGCATATGCCAGTCCAGATAGCCTGTGAACTTCCAAGGATTCTTGTATCCCATCTTCCCATGCCACCATGGCAGCTGTAGAGTCACAGATGTACAACACTATATGCAGTTTTATGTGAGTACTGGACACCCAAACTAATGTTTCCATGCATATGCAACAGATGCTTTACCCACTAAGCCATCTTCCTTGCCTTCAATTTTTATTTCAAATTTGAAATATAATGACTTAGTTACTATGTTCCTGATAGCCTATTTCCATTGTTAATCTGCAAAGAGATTTCTTTTCCTTTTCCTGAAAGAAACTTCTTTTCATTTCTGTAGCTGGAATAAATTTCTCTTTAGTATTTCTAACATTTTCCTAACATGTAACTACTAGTTCAAATAAAGGAAACCTATAATTTCTGTGTTACTAGAATACTTGAGGTGCATGTATTAATGTCATTTTCTCAAGATATCAAGTTCTAGCTAAGATTACAGATGCTGCACACTGTCTCCTTTATTGAGAGAAGTGCTACCAGAGGCACTAGCCAGCTTGCTAACCAGCACTAGACAGGTAAAATCAGGGGTAAACTGAATCTTTTAGGCCAGTGTTACATATGCTTCTCTATATAAGATTAGGTGATAAATTATATTTTTATAATTTAGAAGAAATTATAAATTGTCAAGTGATAATAAAATGTTAAATTATACATCAATTTGAAAGATACATGAGTAACCATATTATAAGAGACAGGTGCTTCCACAGATATAAAGATTAAGAATTATGTTATCACGTTGGCACTTCAGATTTAAAAAACAAAACAAAACTGTATACAGCTTATAACTTTAAACACACATACATGTCTAGAAATAAACACAAGCACAGAAAAATATGTCTTTTGATCATTTGTAAAACAGGCAGTAGTATTTAATTCTGAGGCCACCTGCATATTTGAGTCTTATAAATAGAAATATAGATAATTCTTGTTTTGGTAAGCTTAGTATGCATAAATAAGCTGGTAACAGTGTTTTAATTCATTTTAGAGAGCCACTATCTCTATTCATTAAAGTATTTTACTGGCCACCAATTAATAAGTCACAAGTAATTTATTAGTTAAGTTATATTCAATCCCAAGATAGTTTTTTTTTTTTTTTTTATCACGAAGTGGTAAGAGATAGTTTATTCTGAAGCCAATAACAAGTGACCATAGCCTAAGAATACAGTCAATCCCAAGTTAGTTTTAGTCTGCTTGGGAAATTTATTTTGAGTACAGAGTTAAAAAATAATAATGAAAATAGAGATAATTAATCTTTAAATCATATCAGAAAGTGGATATTTTTAAAAAAATTTCCACCAATCTTGAATATCTTTAACAAATAAAAATTCATTGTCTCTTTAACCTCTTGATAACATTACTGATAGACTTCCCAAAACAGTGACAAAATAGTCTACATTCTTGTTAGAAATTTGAAAGAGCCCACTTGTCTTAGTTATTTTCCTATTGCTGTGATAAAACACTATCACTAAGGCAACTTACAAAAGAAAACACTTATTTGACATGTAGTTTAAGAGGGTTAGAGGCCATGATAGGAGAGCAAAGATATATCTGAGAACTTAGCTCTTGATCCAAAACCATGAGGCAGACAGAAAGCATTGATAATCACAAAAAGACTTTTGAAACTTAAAAACCAGTGTCCAGTGATACACCTTCTCCAAATCTTCTCCAAATAATCCCACCACCTGGGGTGGAAGTATTAAATATATGACATGAGCCGATGAGGCCACTCTTATTCAAATCACCACACCAGAGTACTCAGAATACCCATGATACAAACCAGAGTTATCTGACGAAAAAAGAATAAAGCAAATGACACTATTTTCCTGTGGGAAACAAAATCAAAGAAGTAAACTTGAGATTATATGAATCTGAAGTCAATGATTTTAAAACAACTATTATGATCAGGTTCCATAATGTAAAGGTGAATCTTCTGGGAACAAACTAAATATGAGACATCCTTAAGAAATGAAGTGTACTAAGAAGGACTCAATGAAAAATTCATAAAAGAACTAGGAAATGATATATCCAAAATACAATGTTTATAAGTAAACCTCAGTAATAAAGTGGAGATAACAAAAAAGGATTCATTGAACTTGAAAGTATATCAAAAATATATACTTTATCTGGAATAAAAACAGTAATTGAAATTAAGGAAGCAAATTTAAGATCCATGAGATAATCCTTAATGATCTGACATTAATATAGTTGGAGAAAAATGAAATGCTGGAACAGAAAAGATATAGTTGATGAACTAACTTCCAAGGTTTTAAATGATGTATATTTATATATCTAAGAACCTCATCAAGACTCAGAAAAGACAGTCACAAAAAAAGTATGACTCGGTAGATATAAGTACTTGCCACCAAGGTTGACAACCTGAGTTCTATACCTGAGACCCACATAGTGAAAGGAAAGGACTGACTCTACAGTTGTTCTTTGACTTTGCCCTTTGACCTCTAAGCTAATGTATGTATGTATGTATGTATGTATGTATGTATGTATGTATGTATGCATGCATGCATGCATGCTATGGCAGGAACCTGTACCTGTGAATGCAAATATACACACTGAGTAAACAAATTTAACAAATACTTCTTAAACCTTACATAAATATATTTTCGAAAAAATCACAATGAATGTGCTGAGCAATAAGGATTTTTATTTTAATTTAGAGTAATCAGAGCACAAAACACAAAATGTTTGAGAACTGAAAATGGCTGATTTCGTAAAAACAAAATGCACATCAGAGAACAGTTGACTGTGTGATGAAAGAATAGCCCTAACAACATAGATTTTAGATGTATGAAGAAGATATGTTTTTAAAATGGGATACAGGAAAAAATAAACAATTGACACAACTGAAAAGTCTACAAGAATTTATCTTCACCAGGTTTGTTCTTGGTGAATACAGTAAAGGGAGTTCCTGAGAGAAAAGGCACTGACACCAAAGAAATCATCACTCGAGTAATCAAACAAAAAGGAAACAAGTGTATTCTTCAGAAACAAGCCAAACTACTCATAACATTTAAAATAAAATGGATGAATAGTGAGGAGAGATCAAGTTATATTATATGTAATGCCCACACCTTTAACAGAAAAGAACAAATGTAAAAGAGTCTACAAGGAAAAGATAATATCTTCTATAAAGAGAGCTATTATTAAATCTATGCCATGTATGAAAGATAAGGAACAGACATGTAATCCCTAGTATGATAAGTCATGTTTAAGAGTAATGCAGCCAATGTCATTTATTGGGAAGTCAAATAAGATAGGATTAGTCACCCTAAGGAAGTCAAACAACAGTGTGTTTCACACAGCAGTTCCTGTCCCAATAAAATTATAAAAATAAAGAAATGGAAGAAAGAATTGTGAAAATAGCCCAACTTGCAATAGAAAAATACATTTATTGACAAAAATGTATTCCAAATGATGCAAAGAATGGCAGGAAATAGGTGTAAGAAATAGCATATTTAAATAGTAAATACCAATAGCATTTCAGAATCAATTGTAATTACATCAAAGATGATAACAAATATAAATAGATTAATGTAAATGATACTTTTATGTAAGTCTTTTAAATACTGAAATGCATAGCATATCTGTAATCTGGAAGACATAGCTCTGAAATGTATAAAAATGAAGGTGAGACATGAGAAATTACAATAGTGAAATAAGAATTTAAAAGGAGCCCAACTGGCTGTAAAAATGTTAGACAAAATGAGTATCATTTGAATTCCCAGTGTAAGTCTGTTAATCATGGGAATGATCATTTAAATAACTGTCATAATTTGTTCATATATATTCAGTATAAGGAAAACAATACACATTTACATGTTTCATAATTCTCTTTTACATTTGAGGACACAAAAGTCAAATTTTACAATTATATGATTTCAAAATACATTTATATTGATATAAGTATTGAATCAGTTTAGTAATATATGAACTGGTGATATTATGAATACTCAAGGATGCTGGTGTAACAGTTATAAATTGGCACTTGTTCACCCTCATTTCCCCTACTGTCCAGCCAACAATGTGAGGCATTAAGAAACCCAAACCAGATAACCCAACTAACTTTGAACTCAGAAGAAAATATGTCAGCTATTTTAATATTAGTTTAGCTGTCAACTTCATACATCCTAGAATCACCTTAGGAGAGTCTCCTTAAGGACATCTCTAGACCATGTTGGCTAGTGAACATGTTTATGGGGAAATGTCTTCATTATATTAATTGATGTGTAAATACACAGCCTTAAGGTAGGTGAACCTGTTCCCCTAATTGGAGTCCTGATAGCTAGCTAAGTACAATCATTCATGTCTCATTTCTTTCTATCCTTGATTATTAATGTGATAGCATATAAAGTCCCCAACACCTTGATTTTCCTGGAATAATTGAATTACTCTATTATATGAACTAAAATAAACACTTTCTCAACTAGTCTACTTTTTACCAGCATATGTTATCACAGACACCCACATGAAAATAGGACAGCTGTCTAGCTTGGGAAGATGGCTGTCCTTCTCCAGCACAACAGGCAGTGTCTTCCTCATCTACCACACCTTGCAGTGTCCTTTCTGATCATTCATTGTTTGTTCCTGCCTTCTCTCTAAACCTTCCTATTGCCACAATCACCATATTGCTTCCAAACAGAGGCACATTTTGGTAAAAGGTAACATGGTGTGTTCTTGAGTTCAAATTTTGGAAATGTCATTATAAAACATGAATTCCAGTATTATAGACATAAAGATAGATAACAGCAATAACAGGTGACAAGATGTGGCCTTTGAATATCTGTGTGTCTCTGAGATGTGTCAGGGAGCATGTGTCAAACAGTACACTTTCTTCTTAAACAGACATGTGCTCTGCTCATGAATGCACAGCACAGCTTTCTTGTGGATTTCACAGATAGGATGTCACAGCAAACTAACACAAAAATAGGTAGGATAGCCAGCTATCTTCCCCAAGTAATTGTAAAATGATATAAAAATAGAAATAAGCGCCGCTATCATTTTTCCGATTATTAAAATATAGTTTATTTTAATATTAACATAGCACTTATATAAGCCTGTAATGATATCATCACCATTGAGTTAAATATTAACACATTTAAAATTGATGAATATAATCCAAATATGAACTTCTTTTAGCATGAGAATACACAGTTTTGAGTACAGGAAGCTTAAGAACTACATAAAAGGGAAAAATATACTAAAACAATAGAAGGTTAAAAATATACCAGAAGCTCAAAATATGAATGATTAATACATGTGAGTTTAAGTAAATGTGTGAGCCAAGGGTTTCTGTAAAGCATCAAATATATTCAAGCATCTGAACAATTACTCAAGTTTTCTTTTAGGAATGCTAGTTATGTTTGTTGTCAATATATAATTAACTTTAGAAATAGCATCTTATAAACATGTGTGTCCCACAATAGATAATAAAGCATGTTAATGATTAACTAAAATGTTAACTACATAAACTATAATATTATTTGGTAGGTATAGCATTAAAGAAAAGTGAATACTCTTTCAAAATACCAACTAAAGGAAACTTCATATATTTGTAAAAAGACTTCCCAATTTCCCAGGAAAAAAATATTACCATAAGTGATGATATTTTCGTACCAGCATCTATGATTCTCACTTTCCAGTATTCTTCAATGTTTTCTGGTATGGGTGTATAAATATAATAAGCAAAAAGAATACAAGATAATCCAAAGAACAGAGTTTTGTACCTCATGATAAACCTCCAACTTTCTCTGTGCTGACAGTGAAATGTCACCTCATATATAGATTGCTAAATAGTAAGACAAAGGTATTAGGCCAAGTCTTCAGATAAAATTACAATAAAGCAACACTCATTGAATATCCAGTTCTAAGATCAGGCCAGCATTGTCACAGGTAAGGAAACTGTGCTTCTTTGTTGAACACAATGCACCATGAAAAATCTGGTGAAAATTTATGTCAAGAGCAAAACCATTATGAAAGTATCAAGTTCTTTGACATCAGTGAAACACATCTTAGTAGGACTCTCAGCACAGCACAAGAAAGATGAAAATCTATTTTCTGGTGTCATTTTACCAAAAGTAGTGCCAAGAATTTAAAAATAATTTTGAGTAACATTTAATCAACCCAAAGGGTAAAGGCTATGGCACAAATTATTTTAAAAAATAAAATATGCTGTGTCAAGTGAGCAGGAGACTAGAAGACAGGAAACTAAATGCTAGTCCAAATTACATAATTTATTCACTTTTAGGCAGTATTAACTACACATTAAAGTTAAACTTAGAAAATTCCTATAGCTACTTACATAATAATGAGAATATTATATATTCATTAGGAAACATTTATTGCAACATTGTATGTTCTATGTTACACAGAATAAAATGGTTAAGTATATATGTTATAAATCAATTCTTTTACGAAATGTCCTTGTTCTTTTTTGTATTGTTCTAAGCTCTGTCTACCAATGTTATCACAGAATAAATTCCTTATTTGAGGCCACTTCCAAATTTCTACAAGAAATTTGAGGCATGATTAATTTGTCTATGTTGTTCTTTGCTGTAATGTTTCCCACCCCTGTTTTGATATCTACCAGAAGAAAAGAATGCAGAGGGCAAAAAATCCTGGTGTGCACAGATAAGCACTGGAAGAGCTAGGAAAATTAAACACACAACTCACCTCTTCACCTCTTCAATGGAATTAGGTGTATAGCTGCTCTTCCTGAAATGCTAGGAATGTGGTTTTGCAATCTGGTGATCCTTTACCGTCTGATGAAACAGGCTCTGTCTGTATCTCCCAGAACTTGTTTTTACTTAAGTCTTTTCCCCTAAATCTTGAGCTTTGCTTTTAGACCATCAACTCCACTCTTATGAGTGATGTCACTTGTACTCTACAACAGCCTAAGTGACATCTCTGTTATCTTAACACCAGGACAATCCTGAAACCCACAGGTTCTATGTTCACCTTAGCCAAGCTCCCTAGATCCTAAATCTTGGGCTCGATCCCTGAGTCAACAGTACCCATTCTTGTGAAAGAAACCTGGTGTATTTTGTAAGCAATCTCAATGTAAACACATGTTAAAATTGTTGTGCCCTTTGGATTGAGTTAATTGTTATTGGAACGCTTTTTTATATGGATAAAGAAAAATGATCTGGGTCAGACTCTAGAAGTCCTGGTCCAGAACCAGTTACAATAAAATCAGGCTGAGCCAAGTTTCATTCTTGTCTCTTTGTGGACCATTTTTTCCCTGCCTGCTGTAAAGCCTGCAAGGGAATCACCATAAAAAAAAATCAGAAAATGTCATTCTTCCAAAGCATTTGGGGAAATATAAACTATATGGATCATGGACAGAATATGCTTAGCAGAGCAAGTTATACTTATGCATTTAGGAGTGTACATGCCTAACTATTGGCCATTCTGCTCTTTGTTACACCAATCAGGTATTTTAGGCAGACAAAGTAACACAGATTGACAGAATTAAGCAAATGCAACATAAAAGATTGCAGCATGTCATTGCATCATTAAACAAATATTCCACAGCATAATTAATCTTCCACAACATTTCCTTGATGGGAGATGTCTGTAGCTGGAGTTTCTTTCCAGGCTGGTCCCACAGTCAATTGGCTCCAAATAAGCACACAGAGACATATTAATTATAAACTGTTTGGCCAATGGCTCAGGCTTTGTATTGGCTAGCTCTCTCTTTATTATTAACTCATTTGTTATTACTCTTAAGTATTTCTGCATGGTCTTGTCTTACCAGAGGAGGGTCTGAACCTATTAATCCTTCCTTGGCTACATGGTGATGCCTCGAAGCCTCTGTCTGCCTCCTCTCCCCAGCATTCTCTTCATCTGGTAACCCTGCCTGTACTTCCTGTCTGGCAACTGGCCAATCAGTGTTCTATTCATCAAACAGTAAAAGAAACATACAGAAGGACATTCTCCCATCAGATGGATGCAATATTACCTAACAATAGAGGAATCTGGCTGCCTGGGCAATCACCCAAAGTTGCTTTGCAATGTTGGGGCATCCATCTTCAGCCTACTGGCATAGAATGCCTGGAAGACTTTTCAGTGAAGCAGGAAATTTGAAGGTGAAGGACTGCCCCACTCTGTACTGGTAAAGTTATTCAGTCACTTTCCTCCATATCCTACAGAATGGAGTATATGGCAGACTCTTCTGTCAAGTAGGAATCTTGAAGGATTGTCCCACCTTGTCTTAGCAAAATTCAATAGTCTGTCTTCTGAGTCCTGCCTGTGCAGTCAGTATAGCATACTGTCAGCACTCAAGTCAAAAGCAGATTATTGCCAAATGGCTAGCTTGCCACATTGAAAGCAAACTTCATGTGGGTTTCCTTTGATTCCCATCATCCTTTTATGAAGTAAATTGGTGCTTCCAGGAGCAGATTGTCTCATTGTCATGAATAACCTTTGTTAACAAAACATTATAGGTCTGTGAAGTGTTTGAAGACCAATATCTAAAATATATCTTTGTATGATCTTGAACACATACCTAGCATATATATGAATTTGATTTTTAAAGATGACTAACTATTGATCTGTGTTTCTTTATTTTTCTAAGTAGTTTATAATAATAGCTTGCAAAAACTAGCATGTTACCGTATATTTTAAAATGAACTGTGTAGGTAAAATATTTTAAACAAGAGTAGAAACATACATACAGTATGCTGTAACAAAAATAACATTAGGGAGGGGAGGAAATGGAATAGCAGAAATGTTGAGTTGGGGGAAGAATAGAGGAGGGCAGGATGGGAGATATCATATCAGAGGGAGCCATTATAGGTCTCAGGAGCGATGTGGTACTAGGGAGATTTCCAGAGATGTACAAGGATGACACAAACTGGCAATCTAGGCAATGGTGGAGAGGATACCCTAAATGCAGTTCCCCTATGATGAGACTGATGACTACTTTTTGTGCCATCCTAGAGCCTTCATCCAGCGGCTGATGGAAGCAGAGGCAGACATCCACAGATATACACTCAACTGAACTCTGGAACCTAGTTGCAGAGAGGGAGGAATGAAGATCCAAGGGGTCAGTACCAGGCTGGTGAAACCCACAGAAACAGCTGGCCTGAACAAGGGAGAACACATCGACCCCAGACTGCTGTCTGGGAGGCCAGCACCGGAGTGATCCAGACCGCTGAACATGGATGTCAATGAGGAGGCCTCTGTATTCTAAGGGGCCCCTGGTAGTGGATTAGTATTTTTTCCTGGTGTAAGAAGGGACTTTGAGAGTCCATCCCACCTTTTCACCTGCACACATGGGGAAGGGCCTAGGCCCAGCACAGGATGATGTGGTGGACTTTGGGGAGCCTCCATCAAGCGGACTACCCTGTCTAGGGAATGGAGGGTGGATGGGGTGGGAGGCAGATGGGAGGTTCTGGGGTAGGGCTGGGGGGAGGGGAAGGAGAGGGAGAAGGGATTGACATGTGAAGCAAGCTTGTTCCTAATTTAAACTAATAAAAAATTACAAAAATTTATTATTTTAGTTTTTTCTATTTTTTCCATTTTTTTTACTTAAATTAGAAAGAAATTGTTTTACATATCAATCCCAGTTCCCTCTCCTTCCACTCCTTCCCTGACTCCCACTAACTCCCTATCCCATACTCTTTCTGCTCCCCAGAGAAGGTGAGGCCTTCCATAGGGGGATCTTCACAGTCTGTCATATCCTTTGGAGCAGGGTCTAGGCCTTCCCCTGTGTGTCTAGGCTGAGAGAATATCCCTCTATATGGAATGGGCTCCAAATGTCCATTAACATGGTAAAGATAAATACTGATCTACTACCAGAGGCCCCATAGATTTCCAAGCCCTCCTCACTGACACCCATATTCAAGAAGTCTGGATCAGTCCTATGCTGGTTTCCCAGCTGTCAATCTGGGGTCCATGAGCTCCCACTTGTTCAGGTTAGCTGTTTCTGTGGGTTTCACCAACCTGGTCTCGACCCCTTTGCTTATCACTGTTCCTTCTCTGCAGCTGGATTCCAGTTCAATTCAGTGTTTAGTTGTGGGTATCTGCTTCTACTTTCATTAGCTACTGGATGAAGGCTCTAGGATGGCATATAAGGTAGTCATCAATCTCATTATCAGGGAAGGGCATTTAAGGAAGTCTCTCCATTATTGCTTAGACTGTTAGTTGGTGTCATCTTTGTAGACCTCTGGACATTTACCTAGTGCCAGATTTCTCTTTATTATGATAATGGCTTTCACTATGATGGTATATCTTGTCTTTCTCTCCTGTTTTTCCCTCAACTCAACCTTCCTGCTCCATCGTGTCATCCACTAACTCTCCTCTTCTCCCCTTCTCTTTTTCCAAATTCCCTCTCCCCTCCCCCTATGTTCCCAATTTGTTCAGGTGATCTTGTCCCTTTACCCTTCTCTGGGGGACCATATATGTCTCTCTTAGAGTCCTCCTTGTTTACTAGCTTCAATGGCAGTGTGGATTGTAGCACATGCTGCTACAAAGTACAAAGGCTGCTACTCCTTTGCTCAAACTCTAAAATCCATATAAGAGTGAGTACATACAATGTTTCTATTTTGGGGACTGGTTTACCTCACTCAGGATAGTTTCTTCTATTTCATTCCATTTGTTGTGAATTTCAAGATTCCATTGTTTTTTTCCACTGAGTAGTACTCCATTGTGTAAATTACCACAATTTCTCTATCCATTCTTCAGTTGAGGGGCATCCAGGTTGCTTCCAGGTTCTGACTATCACAAATA